GGAGTTACAACAAACAGTTCTATATCAGTTCAGTGTTCAGAAGAGGTCTTAAAAACATCCAAAAACCCTGCCCCAAAACTTCAAAAAGAAAATACTGTGATACTGGAATTATCAGAAAAGAATACAGAAGATGACACATCCGTGGCACCATTTTGTTACTTGTAACTGCTTAATATTCTTGTATTTTTTAATACTGACTGCCGTTCTGTCCTCTCATTTCTCACTGAAATATACAGAAAAAAACCAGAAATGACTCAGAACAGCAACAGGATTTCAAGGCACAAGAATGGCAACAAGAAATGCTGGACATTAGGACTTCTTATGCTTACAGGGAAGAAAAGAGCAAAAGATATCTAAAGTCATAAGCATTAATAAAGTGAGCAGAAAACAACTGTCAACAGTAACATATGAATTTAGAGGCGTTAATTAAAAAATTACAAAATTTAATTTCTGAATGATGTTGTAGAGACAGGTAGAGCAAACTTTCACAAGTTTAAAAATAAATCTATGCAGAAATTTCATTAAGAGCTATTAAAAACAGAGTTATCATTTCTGGCACAGGAAAGCTGCAACACGAATAGAATCTGGTAGAACAGACCACAGCAGACTGTGATCGCCTTGTTCTTTTACTCTTCTCCTGGTATCTGCTATTGGTCACTGTCAGACACAGGACAAGTAAAACGGATTTTTGCCACGACTCAAGTACAAACTGTTCTTAGGTTCTCAAATACCTAATTTCAAGGGACAAAATCTCCATCAGCATTTAAAAGAGACTCAAAACACAGGAAAAATGGTGGAATGCACTCTGCTCTCTCACTTCACTGATCATCATCGAAGAAGAAAAAAAAAAACCCTGCAAACGTAAATAATCCTCTGTCAAAAGCAAACCACATTTCTTTAGGAACCACACAGTGCATTCCTGGCTTAACCATCAGTTCTCACTAGGAACTAACTGAAGGGGCAGCTGCACTTCTTCACATCTCTCACCAGCTCTATCCTGTATCAGACACAGTGCCCAGCTCTTTGACTCCCTTTAAAACTACCACCATACACATTTAAGTTTAGGACTAGTTGTTTCTTTCCTGGCAGTGCTGCCAATATATTTACTGAAACATACACATCACCTCAGAAAACACCCTTTATTAGCAGATATTTCATTTGGTGAGCAATTTTCCTTTTTGCAACTTAGAGCATCCCGCAGGTCAATGTACAAAACTGCAAGATCTTCACAGGATGTCTCTGTTCAAAATGAATGGCCAGTTACTCCAGCAATTTTAAGGAATTATCACAGTTCAGACAATAAATAGATATTCAATGATCAAACCTAGTGCTCATTATTCTCATCTTATTTACTAGAGACAAGGAGCTGTGGGGAAAAAAGTTACCTATACAGTGAATGGTCGTAATGTACAATCATGGAAAGAAATTAACTCCGATGTTCATGAAAAATAATTGCTGACTACATGATACTGAGGACTAAGATTTTGCTCTGAATCTTTCCACTATTCTGTATCCCCATAGGTCTTCTATCACCTCCTGTGCCTCTTCTGAAAGCCATCTTTCTACAGCTTGTCTACAAAAAGGATCTCAATAGTATGGGAAAGTGTAACCTCATGTGACCATATGCATACGCTTGTTCCTGTCCACTCCCATAAACAACAGAGCTGTTAGTGAATTATTTTATAAACACTGTAAGACACCACCCTCACTCAGAACACCGTCTTATTATGAAAACTTTAATTTTTAATTCTTTGTTCACACAATTTTATTATTAAACCCATGAAGTTAATGAGATTATCCACATGCCCTAAGATAAGCAAGCATACAGAGTGTCCTCTTGTATTAAAAGCTTAGTTGAAGAAGTGGCAAGAAAAATAGCAGAGGAATTATCCTAATAAAGACATCAGATTTTCTGTGGATTAGAATTAAGGCAGAACTGTGTTTGTCTTATCCCCCTTTCCCCTGGTGTTGACCAAATCCTCTGCAATCATCTTGATGGTTGAGCTGAATAATCAGGAGAAACTACAGATGCACCAGGATGACAGTGGAGTGGGACAGACACCAGCCTGTCTTGACACATGAACTCAATTTCCTTTCTCATCACGAATCTTCTTTGCACTCCTGGACAGGCTACCTCAAGAAGGGCCTGACTGCTGCCTAACTAAGTCTTTTCTCTAACGCAGAGCAGAATAAGGATTTCTCAGTGAAATACATTAACAGCAAAAACAAACAAGAAAGTCCTTATACCAACACTACTAAAAAACAAAAACCCTCTTTTTTTGTTCAATATGTTCAGAAACAGAATAAGCATTGTATCTGAAGCTCTACAAACAGCTTAGTCACTATACAGTATCAGTATAAAGATTTTCAATTGGATACTACATGAAATTTAAATTAATGAAAAAGGCCCTGCAATAAAAAATATTATGTAGCCTTCATAAGAGAGTCATCAACCAGTCTGAGCTCTAATATGCCTTCATTTCAACAAAATGGACAAAAATGGAAAAGGTTCCAACTCTTAGGCTACTGAAATGTATGCAAGTTGTTCACTTCAGAAGAGTCACATTTCATTCATTAATGTTAACCTCTTTAGGACAGACTGACTATTACTCAACGCCTACATGCTTTGAAAAATGAAACAAAATCTCTGAAGTGACATTAACATTGCTCCATTGTCAAATGAGTCATCTTTTTTCAGCAAGTAAGCTCAGAGTGAGATTAAACATTGAGAGATGATATTTTATAAACAAAGACTACTTTGAATTCTATCAGAAGAAATTAAATTAAATAATTACTGTTATCTTAATTTCAGCCTTTGGCAAGCAACAAAACCTTATCCAAAAGTGTAAATGTCCATTTACACAATTTAAGTTCAAAGTTCACTTTTCATACTGGAAAAGTCTGCTATGTGTCTAAAAGAAATAATTTTTTGGAAAAGTTTTTTCCGTGCTTCTATCTGATGAGTCAGCATAAGGTATGATTTGTACATGATTTGTGTGAACAAATGTCTATGTTCCATTTCAAGGACTTGCCAAAATGTCTAATGTATATGAGCAACTCCGTGTGTCAGCAGACCAGAAGAAATGTCTGTAAGGTAAGGGGAGTGCCAAGGCAAACTCAGCAACAGTTGTTTTTTTAAAATCTTGAAATATTTATCTTCCTACTGCAGCCACATGTCTGCACGGAAATAATTAACAGGTAAAGGACACACAGAAATCTGCACATGACAATTTATCAAAACTTTCTACTTACCTTTCACTCTTCCACATGTAAAGCTTACCCAACCTATTCTTCAGCTGTATAGCAAGGAACTTGCACTTTGCGTTTAACACTCTCCAATCCTATTCTCAGATCTTAAGAAATACAACCATGCAACTGTTCTAATATTTACAACTTATGCTTCTAAATATTACAACTTTATGGATCTTTATGAATAATCTTGCATTTTACTTATTTTAATATATCATTTTGTTTTACAAGACCATCCAACAAACCACTTGGATGACATCAGCTGTGTTGGACAGCTGAAGAGTAAAACTGCCAGAAGTGCACGCTTCAAAGATCTGTGGTCCAGAGAGGTCACTGTAATATGGTGCTCCATCTTCCACTGGCGTCAGCAAAAGGTCATTAGGTGCACCTTGGTGAACTGTTCCTGTGACTTCATTGTAAATGGTTCCATATCGGTTTACCATGGCTCTTACCACTTAGCGTCTCCGAAACTCTTTGGGCCATACACTCATAAAATGCACCATTTACTGTGGACAGACACATATCTTGTGCTCAAAACTTCTTGAGCTCAAACTTCTACTGCTCCAAGGGGAGTGAAAAATAAGAATGAAGAACTGAAATAGTTCTTTTTACTCTTGCACAAAACCTCTCAGTTCTATCACTGCTAACAGACAGACTTAAACTTACCTGTTGTCCAAGTGCTGGACTTGGGACTTACGTTTTAGATGCGTTGCCTTGAAAATAACTTTCCAGTGGTTTGGGGGTGGTTTTTATTATTGCTGCTTGTTTTTTAATTTGTTTTGTGGGGTTTTTAAATGATTTACTTACTTTAAGTGATGGCACTTGATCTACATCCAGCTCTGGCATACCCTAGTTAATCTCAGTTATCTGTGTTTCTGTGTATTTTCCCTTCCTGAATAGCCCACCAAATAAGCTGACCAAAGAAAGGGAGAGGTTCAACGCACACCCAGGAAAGTCTGTCTGAGACTGCCAAAACATCTGCAATAGCCCAAGTATTACATTTACGCAGAAGTTTACCCAATACACAGTTCCTCAAAACCAAGTAACACAAATATATACCCTCAATCATTAATATTAATTAGCTGACTTTTCAACACATCACCTAAAATTTTGAAACTCCATAGTTTCTGCATATTTCTAGTTTTATCCTTGTGTGAAAAAAAGTATGAAAATATATTGCTACAAGTTTCCCTAGACTTTTATTTTGGCATCTAATAGCTCACTGTGGCTTCCACCACCAGTATTCAAAAAATGCTTAAAAGAACAGTACAGTCTGTCTCAGATTTTGTTTTATACAACTGGCATGCTTTATGCATTTTGATTCAAGAGTTAGTAAAGTGTCCCAGACAATAAATCAAAATAGGTGCTATTCAAGCATTACCTGAGTGTATTCATAGCTAATCTTTAAGTAAGATAAAGTATTAAGAATACAAAAGACACATGGCAGACTATACTGGTCTTTTAAATACAGAATGTTCAGGAACATGAAACAGCTGAAAGGCCCAATCTAAACGCTACTAAGACTGCTGGAAAGATTACTAGTTATAACCTTGTCTTTAAAATCAGTGTTTAAGCAGGTATTACATCACATCTTCTCATCATGAAAGGAAGGTAACATAGTTATTACACTAGGAAACTAAAGGAAACAAATACAGTAATATAGACACACATTTTTCCATAGTGAAACATAGAAAATAGTTAAAATTTCAAACAACAAATCATTTCAGTTTAGAATTATCTTTTAAACTTACTGTATTAGTTGAATCTTCTTGTAAAATTCTATCATATAACTGGATAGCATCATCATACCTGTTCAAAGAAATTATTTGCATTTATTTCTGCTAAGACAGAATTCCTGACTTTTTGACTGTCCTTGCAATAGTTAATAACCCACTTGCACTTCTTATACTGAAATATAATATACATATACTAAGCAAACTATATTTATAAAAAAAATCTTTTGAGCTAGTGCTAAATATCAACAGCAGTATTTTATGTCACCAAGTTAAAAAAACCACATGGTAATTATTTCATGGAATACTGTTTCAGCAGCAACTTAGGTATTTTACATCCAATTTCTTACTCTCCTGTCCTTTCTTTTTCTATACCCAACAGATCCCACCATCACATCACTACTCTCCCTTTCATATCTCCCAAGAAACAGAAACTCCAAAATTTGAAAGGCCATCCAAAATAATGACATTTCACTTCACTGTTAATTTGAAAATGCATGTAAGTTTCTTCTGTTGTGACTTCAAAAAGTAAAACAGCTGTATACATCAAACTGAAAAGATATACAGAAGAATCCACCCCAGAATATAAGTCTTGAAAAAAAATGTTTTCCACCACTACTTTTAATATTTTTTTAAATTAATTAATTCTGCTATTTGAAGTATGCTCAAAACAGGTTACTTCAGGTGCTATGAGCACTTCAAACCTTCTGGGAAACAGATCTGTGTGTTCAGTCAGAGGTGTACATGACCCAAACTTGACAAATGAAATAATTCAATTCAAAACACATTTGACTACACAGCTGTTGTACTATCACCACAGAACCAGAGCATACTTTGTGTCTTCACATATAGTTTGACAAGAAGTTTTTCAGTGGTACTGCTGACTGATTTTTGATGATACACACTCCTTCTCACCTTGGACACTCATTACGTACTCTCACTGTTCCCTACGCACTGCTGACATAAGCACAGCTCAGCTGTCCAGTCCAGTTACTGTAAGGTATGAGAGGAAATGTGAAACAAAGTGCAAAAGAAGAAGAGTAGAATGTGACTGCTACAGACTTGAGCAGATGTGCTGTAAACGGCTGTATTCATGTTCTCTGTTAGTTGCTACCTTATCAAATGCAATTTGGAAGACTGAACATGATGCCCATAATCCCAGCTCTACATGGTGAAGTTCCAGGATATTATTATTTTGATTAGCAAGTGTCCACAAGGATGTCTCAGACTATGGGGATGTTCTTCACTGTTTCCTCTTCCTGTTGGGGAAAGCAGGATCCTTCGCAGATCCTACACGTCACTTAAAATCTAACAAGTTCACTTCTTCAATTGAAAATATGACCAGAGTTTTCCTAGACTTCTTTTGTAGTCAGTGGAGACAGACAAGGTTTCTCCAGGGCATGGTTTAGAGCACCTGCAGATGGGTTCCTGTTCAAGACAACCCAAAGCTGAAGCCTCTGTCTTGGACTTCTAGAGAAAATCTGTGAAGATGAAACCTCAGTTTTGCTAATGCCTCTGCTCTCTGATACTCAAATCTCAAGGATCTATCCTGAAGGATTACTTTTGTCAAGTAATTTGATGAGCACTTTCAGAAAACTGTGGCTCAATAGCACTTCACTACTGGAACCACACATAATGTCTGTGCAGCAGTCATTTCCTAAAAAGATAAGTTCCCATGCAATAACATCTTCAATGCAGTCACATAAGGCTGAACTGAATTATGATCTCTTGTACTTTGGAATAGGTTTCAGGAGGGAGGAATATCTGCTGCCATTTTTTCACTGTCTTCCTATCCTACATAACATGCAGACAAGAGAGTTAAGCCTAATTCTTCAAGAATATTCATTTGATATACAGCGAGTGTGAAACAGATGACAAACCTGTGGATGGAATCCAGTTATTCCTTCTTTTTGATCCATGCAGTGGATAATTATTGGTGGCTCACATTAAATACCATTTTCAAAGTTAATTTTGCAAGAATGTAATGGAAGAACATTTGCTATATAAATATCTTTTAAAAAAGCATTTAGGGTGTACTTCCAACTCCTTTGTATCAAGATGGCCCAAAGGCTCCAAACCTCACCAACTCTGTATGCAAAATGGGCACAGAACAGACCTTCCAGTATTCAAAGGCACTGAAAGCTGGAAGGCCCTCTCAACACCCAAGACAAGGGCTTCAGAACAGAATGTTGACATCAATGATGTAACGAAGGAGAAAGGTGGACAACAAAGGTTGTCCACCATCATCCTCAAGCCTTGAGGTCATTCATCTTGGAAAGATGCATAGTTTTAATGTGTTCACTATTTTAATAAGTCCTTTTAAACTTTGTATGTTATAACCATTCTATAGGATATTTCAAAAAGGTCAGTCTGATATTTAGGTTCTGCAATTCAATTCCATGTGTTTTTTGAGTTGTTTCTGTAACAAACTCTATAGACTTAATCCTTATTAAGGTCATTTACCCACACTCAGAAAACAAGGGTAAAGAGCTGCATCCTGCAGTAACTCGGAGAACAGGAGAACAATTAAGGTAAAAAAATGATGGCACTGATTTTCATATGCTGCTCTCGCTCTGTGAGATGAAACATATTGCTCACAGCATTTGCCAAAAAAGTGTGCAGTGTTTTACTGTATAAGGACTTATGCTATCAAGGAAGATATCTTTCTGACCTAGGAAATCTGATGGGAAGATTGCAAAAATGAAACACTGCATAGTACCTGCAAAAATGTAACACAGATGTCTAAAAATTATAATACGATCATGGCACCACTGTTATTTCCTATAAAGAAACCGTCCAGCATTGTTTTGCCATGACTTTGCCATGACTTCATGTTTTGCCTGAATGCTTTTTTAAGAAAGAACAAACACTTTTCCAGACAGAAAGTACATTTCTAAAAACTCAGGTTTTACCTTTCCATAGCTTCAAATCGCATTCCAGTTAATCGTTTAACTCTGTGGCTCCCAGGAAATTGCCGCCTTAGTTCCTGAAGACAAAACTATACAAAGAACCAAAAATACTATTGTGAATACAATAATCTACACAGAAGCTAGAAGAAGACAACAAAAGAAAAAAAAGGAAAGAAAAAAAAAGGCCTTGGTCGATAATTCAACTACCTGGAATGGCAGTTTTGAGTAAAAGTAAATACCAATTTTGGAATAAGCAACGCATTGATAGAGAAGGTCAGAAACAGAAACTCTGTTAGAAGACAGTTTTAAGAAATATCTTCCATACAGGTCATTAGATTATGAGGCCACCTTGGAAATAGTTATTTGCCTAGAAAATTAGGCTCACCCACTGAAACAGAGCTGATACTATTAAAACTTTAAGTCTTCTCAGTTGCTGCATAATAACACAAGACAGTAAAAAAACAAAATAAAGACAGTAAGAGCTTATGTGATATTTCTTTAATAAAGGGATATCTCACAATGGAACAAACTATGCTAATACAATGCTCTGTGTTTATTTTTAAAATAAAATTTTGAAATCCAAAGAAAATGTTTGTCACTGGCTTGGATACAGCCTGCTGGCAGAAGAGGCATAGTTTTTAACTCGTGAAATCAATGAGACACCTGGGATGGATAAAAAGAATTCATCACAGGCAGATTTCTCTGGATCAGTGAAAAAAGGATGTTTGGTAGAGGGACTGAGTCATAACTTCCCCAGAGCAAACTAACTTGTAACCATATCATGAACGTGGTTAGATAGCATTGCAAAGTTTGTAGCCGACTCATTATGGTGGGAGGCAGAATAGTCCACAGGCTCTCAAAGAGACCAGTGGTTTGAACCACATGAAAACCTTCACACTGAATCCTCCTCTTCTAGACACTTATTTATACAACTCAGCTTTGAAACTTCAGAGCTAAGGTTCTAGCAGAAGCCTATCTACATAATCTCTTCCATCTCATCACATCCCATGGTCAAAGGAAAAAGTACAGAAGTAACAGTTTGTTTTTGTAAACATGTTGCTACAGTACATCCAAGAGGAATATTCACATCTCTTCCAGATGCTAACAAACAGAGAAGATGAGAGAAAGGAAACAGTAACCAAAGTAGCAATGCTTAGCCTCAAGTAAGCACAGACTATTTTCATCACAATCAACTTAGTTTGCAGTGGACCAAGATCTTAACAAAGCAATTTCACATAGAAAGGCTCAGGTTTAGTACAGAAATGGTTTACTGGCACTTTGAGTGAGTTCTAGGTGAACTGCTGCTGCTCTAGTCACAAAAAATTACATGTAATTAGCAGCATGTTATATGATGTCCGAATTAATCAGTGAACATTCTTAAGAGACAGGAAAATTTACACGAAACTCCAGAAAAGTGGTTTCACTCCAGCTTTTAAAATCCAAACAACCTTACAGGCTTTAAAAGAACTTTTGTGGACAATAAATCCACCTGTGGTCCAGTGATCAGGGAATCCTGAAGGATCCTGATTTTTAGTATAAAAACACCTACTACTTTTCTCCAATAAAATGTTTGAATAAGAAAAATTGTAACATTTACAATAATACTGAACTCCAAAATCTGTAGATGGGCATTTACATTTAAAAAAAGTCTCATTGACAATACGAAAGAACTAGTGCACAAGTGCAGGAGTCATACAAGACTCATACAAGAACTGTTCACATTAGATCTGAGTACACAATCATTACCCAACCAAACACAGCAGCCAGAAGGCCAAAATAAACTCCTGTAGATTACACTACCAGACAAAACAAAAAGAGCATGAATTAACTACACCAGTTATATTTTCAAAATGTTCTGGACTCAGCAGCACTGAATATCCTCTTTTTAAACTTGACTTGCAATCCCTATAATCATTTATGCTATTGAGGACTGGTTCTGCACCATATCAATAATCTACTTTCGAGATTCTCTCAGAAACTCAGCAGTTACAATGGCAAATGTCATTTGTACGTGAAACTTGAATTTGCACTTAATTTGCATTCTGACTTTTCAGTCACGGGTTTTAATTTTAAAGGTCTGACAAAAGCAAAGAAATATAGACCTGAACTTCAGCAGGTAAAACACTGGTAGTACAAGTGCTGCCAAGGTGATTGCACTAAAACATGTATGAAACAACTGGCTGATTGCAGAGGGACATGCATTACAGAGTCATTTAGTGCAGGACAGAAAGGACCTGCACAAAGAAAAAAAGAAAGAAAAAACAAAAGTCAGATAAACCACTCTGAAAACTACCTCAGCCTTCTCCTTTAGAGTAGATGAGACCTATTCCTCTAAGCACAATGCATCACAGTTGTCAAGAGCTCACTGCTGAAAAAAACAGTAGTTCCAAAGCTGTTTGTCTACTTTGGAGCTACAGTTGCAGTAAAATGTCACATATGATGTTGACTTGTTTGAATTAACTACTTCTTCATTATAAATCAGTCAAATTAAAAAGTAAAAAACAAGCCTAAGGTTTCCCTCTAAGCTTTTAACCTCCTTTCTGAGCTGCATATGAAACACTGCATTCCCTCATCTCAAGCATTATTCCTTAAAGGGCACAGAAACTGAAATTTAAAATCCCTGCCAGGGTTAGTAAAAACAAAGAGTGTTTCACAACTGATCTTTCAACACTGGCTCCTTCAACAACTTTGTGAAAGTCTTCCTTAAAGGACCCTGAAAATAAAGACCAAAACCCTTTTACATATAAATCAGGACACAGAAATGTATTTATTTAATCAGTAAGTCTATTTGTTTTTGTTTGAACAGACAGCTATACTACAGCAGTATTTTCTTCTGAGGAACAAAAGAGAGGGAAATTCAGTGGGTTCACAAGTTCAAAGTCTTGTGCTATATTTTCCAGCATACTCCATTTTACCATATACATATGGGATGCAAGATAAACTTGTTCTGCCTACTTTCAAAATGCCCTTCTCCCAACTGCATCCTCTAGCCTGACCCAAATGACATGACAAGAAGCTCAAAGACTTTAAGAGGTATTTTGCCATTTGACTGAGAACAAGGTACTGGAGGAGTAATCCCCATGAAAGATCTGAAGCCCTGAAAATGTCTTTTTACTTAGAATAAGCTCAAGCTTGATGGCTTTCAGGGCACAAGACAAACCTCTGGTTTCTTCTGACTGTTGTGTGAAGGAGGAGTAAAAAGATTATTAAAATTTTCCTGCAAAACACACTTTTCCTTTTTCCTGTTGATGCCTTTAAAGGATTAGCTAAGCTTACTTGGTTTTTTTTTTGGTTCAGTGTTTTATTTTTTAACTAACGAACATGTGTTACAGTTAAAAATAAACTGATTTTATCTGAATTGTTATTTGTATCATGCAAATAAATTTGCATACAAATTGACAAAAATCAAATATCCATTAATAATATTTTTATCAACAATCACTTTATAAATTGGATTGCAAGGGCCCTTTGCAAAAGTTCCCTGCTCCAAATGCTACTCAAAACAGAGCCAGTTTCCAGGGCCATATCCCAATATATTTTTATGCATTTCCAAAAGAGATTCCACACCTTCTAAGTGCCCTTTGTCATAAAGTGTTCACTAAGTTTTTCCTAACATCTAATTGGAATTTCCTTTGTTTGCTGCTTATGTCTCACACTTTTTTTGCACATCTATGGAAACATGTGTCCACCTTTTTTATGCCTCCCCATTAGTACATATTCAAAGATAGCAACAAAATCCCTTCTTAGCTTTCTCAAGACTTAACAAACTTATTCTTTATTCTTTATTCAGCTTTTCCTTATACATTATGCAGTCCAGCTCCTTATTCATCTTGAAGACCTGCTCCAACATGTCAATGACTTTCTTTGATGGCAGCCAACATAACATATAATATGATATGTATGAGTGGACATTTTACCTCAAAACATTCAAAAAACCAGTATAATTTGAGAGGTTTTCAATAAACAAACACTCTCTGTACAATATGGCAACCTCAATATTATTCTTGACGTTTAGCCCATACCAGAGTAGCTGTAAATATTTTCATGGCTATTGGAAGAGATGTGATCTGTCTAAACAAAAGTTACACATTAGAGAAGGTAGGTGGTGGCGGTTTCTTCCCAGCAGTGTATTTCTTGATAGATACTCTTTCCACCAGCCCAAGCTGTGGAGTTCAGAATGTCCTGTAACTGCCCAAAAAACTATCTGGAAGACATATCCAGGACAAAAACTTACAGCGTGAAGGAAAAGTCAACGTGAAAACTTACCAATGCCAGATCATCTCGACTGCAGTCCAGGGCAGCAATCATCACCTGTTCATAAATTATCCAAACTGGACAAAAAAAGAGACAATAAATGAAGATAATTGACTTTTTTTTTTAAAGATAATAGGAAACACCTATGACATAAATAGGGTTAATGAATTCTGTCTGTACATTTTTCCCCTTCTACTCCCATGGATCACTGCTGAAACAGGGAAAAATTAAGAAACTGCTGGAATTAATTAAAAATATATCTAAGCAATTTAGTGCTTTTAGTACTAAAGTACCTTCTGACATCCTGAAAGGCAAAAAAGCTCTAATTCTCTATTTTTCCCACACTATAACTGCTATCTTCTAAACAGATTCCCATTAGGACTTGCTCCTCGATCAGACCTGCAGAACAGCCACTTTTCAGTTTTTGCCACAGTGCTGAAGAACAGAAAATCAGACAAACAATGGCTTAACTAACAAAAAAGTTATCACATAATGGTCCAACTACAAATACAGCAAGCTAACAGTTCTATCAGGTAATTTTTAACACCTGTTTTCACTGCAGCCCATATTTGAGAAAAAAATAAACTCTTGGAATTATGGTAGCCTAATAGACTAAGAAAGTAATATATATTTTATCAACATCACATACAGAAAGACAAAGCAAAGACTGTTAAATAAAACAGAGACAAAAAAAAAAAATAAGAGAATGGAAATTTTTAAAATAATGTTTGTTTACTCACTGTCATCTCCAAGTTTAGATGCATATTCATTAATTAACTCTTCTCCAACATCCACTATCTGTTCACTGTTTCGGTAGTTTTCTTCCCTCCATTTCCTCATTTTATCACGCATATCTGTGGGCAAAGGGAAGAAAAAAATTGATATTTACAGATAGTAACAGAATTTTAATGTGATTTCTGGAAGATATGCATAGGAAGAATGGGTCTAGAGAGCAACATACCTACAGATGTGATTCTACTAATATTAAAAAAACTACTAGAGAACAGATGGGTGTACCAGACCTCTGAAACCCTATTACACAAACTGTGCTCATGCTCTAATACAATCAATCTACCCTCAAAGTTTGCAGTCTCTCATGGAAGCAACACGTGCAGTAAAAAACCCTGTACTCAGTTATCCCACAAATAAAATTTATCCATGATTAGGTAAAAGAGGCTACAAGAGATTTCTTCCAAGTAGTTTCACACATTTACAAATGACACTAAAATTGCATTTCTGTTACATGTAAATAAATTTTCACTTGAAGTATTAGAAAAACTATTATAACTTCCACTCTAAAAAGAACCTAGACACTTGTAGAGCTCCAAGAAGGGTAGACATGGAATTGAACGCTTTCTATACCAGAGAAATGCCCAAAGGTATAGAAAATATCACTGTTTATCTAGGCAAGATAGAAAACATGGTTTAGTTTAGCATTAGCATTTTTGTTCCAAGAGTACATTTACTATGTGTCAGATCTCCAAGAGAACGGGCACATTCATGAAGTCAGCACTATCTAGCCTAGGCTTTATTTATCCTCTGGACAAGGAAATTGCTAAGAATGTGATTTTATATACACATACATTTATATACATGATCTGTATACAAGAACAGATTTTGAGGAAACATAAGGAAAATAGTTTTCATTACTATATAGTGGCTTTACTAATAAGAAGGTACCAGGATAACTATTGCCAATACTTTTTAAAAACTTTATAACAGCTGGAAAAACAAATATAATGATAGACCTAAACACTGTCAGTTTTTCTTGTACTTCAAAACACAACTAATGTAAATGACAGTTAAAAATTAAGCACTGAATGTTGCTCCATCTACCTGAAGTGATCCCGGATCGCTCATAAGACCGTTATTGTGCTACATTTTGTATTTTGAAATTCAACCAAAACCACCACAGTGTTACATTTCATAGGCACAGGCAAAGTTAAATGGTTCTAGACACATGATGGTCCCTGGAAATTCAACGTTAGACAGCAAGAATGTGAGAGAACACAAACATTCACAAAAGCTGACAAGCTAAATGCCTAAAAATAAATAAGCTGTCTGATTTCCACACACTCATTTACTTGGAAATTATCAGTGCCTTCATTCCAGTGTGATTCCAAATGGAATAGTCTGAATTATGTATTAACAGAATGCACATTTACCATTCATCGCACAAGTACGGCATTTACAGCAATAAAAAAGCACCTGTAGGACAGCGATTAGACCATCAGCTGATGACTGAAAAATGAAGTGGGAAAAAAGGTTCTCATTAATGTGAATCTATTGAAAGACTTCTTGGTTTTAGAAATACTGAATTTTATGTAAAAGGTAGAAGAAAGAAAACACTAAAAACTACAGTAAAACTTACACAGGGCTTTTAACAATGTTGTCAAACAATGAATTTTTTACTAAGAAAGCTATCCCAAAGAGTCAGACAATAACTTAAGTCTCAGAGACATATAATACAAGGCTGGGCAGGAGCAACTAGGGATTTTAGGAAAAAAAAAAAAGTACGGTAAAGAAATGTCTAGTTTTAATTACGACTTCTCCTGTCACATATATAGGCGGATGCTGAGCACTTGATACATTGGGTTTAGACTTGGGTTTTCCTCAATTGGCAATCTTTGCACATATAAATCAAAACCATACAAGTTCAAAGGAGCAGATGCACTTGCTACAATGTTTGCTGTTTCCTAAAAGCAAGCAAGCAGTCTACTGCAAGCCAAGAGACACAACCTGGGTTTTATTTTTGAGTCTCTAAAGGCATCAGTTCATTTGGCCTGTGCAACCAGATATGAAGTAATACTCCTATAAATACTTATACCTTCCTTGATGAGTCAGATCATAGTTTTCAAGTCCTCAACACCTAAAAGCACTCAATGAAATGCATGACATTACCACTGTTGCTGGAGAGACATCCCTTGACAACTCCAAAATGTCACCTTGACATACAGTTGTCAAGGTAGTCTCTCGGGGAGCCCACAGCCATTATATTTCCAGAGCTCATTTGTATATTGTTGCTCTGTTACAGCCACCAGATCTCCTACCACAGCTCATCTGTGTCCACTCTCACATGGCAGGGGCAGGCAGAGGCACAGTCGGCTCAGCTGGACGCTGCAGATGCTGACGATAACTCTGACAAGTCATGTCAGTGGGGCCTCAACTACAGCAAAAAATCCCAGCATCTCACCTTTGTCTGCTGTAACTCCATAAATTCATATACAAACCCCAGATTAAACTGATCTGTCTCTTTGATTACAACTCTAAATTAGGAATAGCTAAAAGAAAGCAAAGACAGCACAGAGCAGAACAAACCCACCTCAACAACACTTAATTGCACATAGATTATGATGAAGATAAAACGATTTCCATACAAACAAAATATGAATCAAGTTTCTAAGTCATAGGAAGGAAACAATTTTTTCATCTGAAGTGGACTCTAATGACTAGAGACATTAAAAACAGAAGGGTGGAAGTTTTTAAATTCCTTAAGAACTTTCCCTTTTCATATATAACATGTTCCCAGATGCATCCTTTTGCAAGAAAATGGCCTCACATACATACAATGTTAAGAAGAATTCCTTCAAAAAAGTATCTCTCATGTGGAAATGTAATGAAAACTCTAAAAGTGCCACTACTTAAGTAGTGGAATTTTTAATACAGAAAACACCAATACTTAACAATTTAACAATACAGAGAACTTAATCAACAGGCATAATGACCTAATAAAAAAATCTTTTAAAAAAAATACTCTTTTCACTTGTTTTCAATTTCTATAAAGACAAATCTAGTTTCAAGAATGTGCCATTCCTTTCTCTTTTTGGTATTGATACCCAGGGAAGACAATTACTGACTGAAATGAGAGTTGCTGTGACAGCACTCAGAGATCTCCACAAAGCTCAGTTATCACTAGTTGAAAGTCACTGCTTCATTTTCACAGGGTTTGAGATTTAATGCCATGATGCTTCTGTGCAAGGTAAAGAAAACTTAGTTTATTCTGTCCAATTCTGACAATATGTCAGATGCGTTTTCTGTGAAAGCTAATTGTTATTTTAATAGTTCTTTACTATCACGACTGGTGCTTGTTTGCAGATCACACTAATTCTATGCACAGAGACTAACTTGTGTGCTCCAAAACCTGCTCCTAAAATGAAGTTACACAGGTGTTTGTTCACCTTTTTTTCAAACATTTCCACTCATGGTACAAATTCATATTCCATGTGCCACTGATAATACGACAAATGTTTACTTTGTGAAGTTCTATGCAGCTCAAGAAACTCCTAGTAAGAGGCTGTGCATCACCAGTTGCCATCTGATGTGCTAACTTACTACATCATGCTCCTTTGCCAGACCTGCAGTTCTTGACTCCCTGTCACTCCACATAGTTTCTTTTATACATTAAGGAAGCAGGAAATGTGCCATTTTCTATAGATAATTAGCAACAGTGACCACAAAGGAGCACATATCACCTTTGTCTCAAGTAAATAAGCTGTAAAATATACGATGCATAACCATATATAAGTTTCTCTTTTAAGATCATAGCATCCCGAATCCATATTTGGATCATCTAAGTCCACTGATCAAGACCCTAAAGTTAAAAGAGAGGTTTTCCTGCTCCATAGAGTTCCAAATACACTTTAAAGCTTCAGTCACAGCAAGAAAGTAAAGAAAGAAAAAATAAAGACAACAGCTTCAACAGTGGAAAACACAGTTATTTTCAGTTACTTTTCCTAACCACCTGTACAACACATCTACCTAACAAAATTTAATCATGGTTGAACTCCAACCTCTGTCTCAAAGAACCCGAGTGAAAACCAAAGCAAAGCACAAACAATTTCATTTGTCTCATGGTATTCTACTTCCCCAACCTCGAATCACATATTCATCTTCAAGCAGTATGTAAGTATAAAACATCTTGTTTAGAAAGGCCTGAGTATATATAAAGGACATTTTTTAGATAAATATCAGGCACATACTTGGTTTCACAGGAATTGAGCATTTTAGAGATTCAAAATGAGCTACATTAAATTCCTAGAACTGTGTTCAAATTCTTTGCTAGGGACTAGGCACTATTTCAATGGGCAACTTACAGCGATCTGTTAAAATACATCCTCTTCCTCTTATCTACAAAGCCAAACTAAGCAATGATTCATGATTGTGGAATTATTCTATTAATCGTGTCTTCACAGATTGGTAGTAAATAAATACAAAACCAAAGATCACACAGCTTCTCTCTGCATTATCTTCTCTACTGTATGTTTGTAGCATACAGTACAGAGCTAAAGGTTCCCCGTTTATAGCCAAAATTATGGAGAACCATTGATTTACTACTGATAGGAGACTGCAATGGGCTTGAGTGCTGTCTCGAGCTCACACGTGAATACGTACTGGTTATGAATGAAGGACCACTGAGAATGTCAAGCAAACCTCAAACAGTATTGATATATGAAAAACAAATCACCATTATGATCAAACAGACGTGAAAGCTCCAAAGACCCAGGAGGGCGGGATTTTCAAGAACTTTTGTGTCACTTCAGAGCTTCTTGGGAGTTCCCCCACAAACGCTTATCATCAAATTTAACGAAAATACCGAGTTAATTTTCAGTTCACCAAGAAATGAACTATGACACAAACTGCTGAGCCAGCCAAGAGGCCATTTTCTATTGGAGGCGCTGTGTTCCTGAGGGGGAGACGGGGCAGCGGGAGGAGCGCCCGCCGCCGGGCCCTGGGGACGGGGGGTCCGGCCCTGGGGACGGGGGTCCGGGCCCTGGGGACGGCGGGTCCGGGCCCTGGGGACGGGGGGTCCGGGCCCTGGGGACGGGGGGTACGGGCCCTGGGGACGGGGAGTCCGGGCCCGCGGAGCGGAGGCGGCCGGCGGGGAGGCTCGGGGAGGCCGGCGGGGCATTCCGGGTGAAGTGCGCGTTCACCGCCGGACCTCCGGGCACCGAGGGGCCGAGCACTGCCGGCCGCTCAGGCGGGCCGGCCGCCCACAGCCCGGGGAGGCAGAACCGCCGCCTCTCGACCCAGGCCGCCGGGCCCACCTGGGGACGGCCGGCCCGCCCCGGGCCCGCCGCGCTGAAGGGCTCCGGGAGCGCCGCCTCCCCCCCGCGCCCCGAGGGCCGGTCTGTGCCGGCACGGCCCCTGCCCCGGGCGGGGAGCGCGGCGTTACCTTCCCAGGTCACGTCGTACATCTCCGACACCTTCGCCATCTTGGCGGCCGCCGCGTGACGCGCGCGCTGACGGTCCCGGCCGTCATTGGCGGGAGGCGGGAGCGGGGCCGGGCTGGGCCCCTCCGCCCTCGCTCCGCGCCCGCTGTGCCGCTGCTCCGCTCCCGCTCCGCTCCCGCAGCCCCCGCAGTCCCCGCAGCGCCGCGGCCGGGGGAGCGTCGCCCCGCAGGACGGGAGCCTCCGAAGGGCCCGAGCTGGCGGGGCCGGAGCACCAGGCAGCCGGCGCTTGCCCGCCGGGGCTCGGGGCTGTGCCGGTCTGTGTTCGCGCCGGTCTGTGCCCCGCACTGAAGGGGCACCCGCGCGATCCCCGCTCCTGTCTCGCCCGCGGGCCGAGAGGCCTTGCCGGGGTTAAAACCTCTGAGCCCAAGCTGAGGGCTGCAGGTTAATTTCCTGCTTTATATTCCACATAACTTGGCCGCGTCCAGGTTGTGCACCTGGAACACGCGGCGCGAGGAGGCGCCCGGTGTGGTTCGGTCCGGCGGGAGAAGTGCCCGGGCGTTTCCTGCCCCGGGATCCCGGAGGCGGCACGACCCGGCAAGCATGAGCTGTCGGCTTCTCTGCAGCTGCCCCAGAGCCGCTATGGGCAGTGAAACTCCACGTAACAAATTCCTGTCCACGGGTCGGGGGAGCCCTGAGGGGGTCACAGCCAGGAGTGGGGCTGTGGGCCGCCAGCCGTGCCCAGGTCTGTGCCCTCTCCGCTGTTTACCTTCCGACATCACGGCTTCTGCCGACCACCAGCCACAAAAGTGGTTTCTGAGTAAATGAGACTCCCCATTTCAATCCCGATTTCACTGTTGAAATTGGATAAATGTATTCAGCACATAAATGAATCTCCACTGAAGATGTTAAAAAAAAAAAAGATGATGGATTTTTAATTTCATGCATAGTTTAGTTCACGTAGTAGTGTTCAGTCATAGGTTGGACTTGATCTCGGAGATATTTTCCAATGTAATTGCTTGTGTGATTCTGTATGCTAAAGGAACTGGGTTTTAGAAAATAGCACCAGAAACTTAATTGTCTGACATTTAACTCTGTCAGGGTCTCTTATGGGAAATGCCTCAGACTCCATACTCAATCCTCTAACTCCATCAACAAAATGAACCGTAGATTCAAGAACACTGCTTCTGTATTTATTATGTTTGTTCCTCAGACTAGAATAAACTACTAATTTTTAATACTATCTACAGTGTAATTAAATGTCACAACTTTGACAGCTAAAAGGCCTCAACTAGAATTCAAATGGTGGTCTAAAAATACTGTGTATGCCTAAATTTTCTTTCCTCTAAAGTGGTTTTTGATCTTCTAAGTGAATGGATTGTTTAGACCTTATGTAGCGCAGCTGTACTTCCAGTTGAATTTAAAATGCCAGTATCTGTATTATCTGAACGCTTCCAAAAACATTTATATATTTATTCTCGTAGTATATGAGTAGGGAACTGATATTCCTGTTTTACAAGTTAAAGAATGAATATGGAATGGTTACAGGCTAGATCCATAAAGGATTTAGCACACACCTGCTCTTGTGCATTACGGGGTAACACTGAAATAGCTGAGGTAAAATAAAAAATTAACTTGCAGAGTTCAGTGCTGCTGGATTGCTGAGTTAGCAGTAATGCCTAATGTGGGACAGACAGAACTTTTAAGCATATAAATCCAAAATTCTGATGCTTTTAAAAGCCCTGTCAGCTGTCACCTAGTGCTGAAGGAGCTGAAATTTCAGAAACATGTGTTTGAAGTGTTTGGGAGAGGTTTGGACTTGGTGTTCCCTGGACATCTAGCTCTATACTTCTGCACCTGCCCACAACTTCATCTCGGCAAGAGGCTGGAGACAGTACCCCACAGGGGCTCAGTCTCATTACTGTTCTCAGAAATAACTGTGATCTCTCTTCTAGCTAGATTTAGGCAATTCCCCAGTTATTCTGGATTCCTTCCCGAGACGTGCAGCCCTCCACCTGCACTGTAAGACGAGACCAGGTCCTGAAGTTATGCACTGTAAGTGTTGCCTGCTGACTTTCTTGGACATAGTCTCGAACGCCTTGCCTAAAATCACATACACCGTGTTCTGCCGAGCTCAAGGCTGACCCTTCCACTGCATACCTCTGCTCTTGCTGTGGAGTAGAAAACCATCCACACTCACCAAGAGACGGGAATTATTGTTACAATATCCCCTTATGCCAGATACTGTTATAGTTGGAAACAGGAATGTTTTTGGTATTAAGCTTTCTCTTCTTGGAAACTAAACCAGTGGTTTTTAAAGCTGTTTTCTTATGCCAAGGAGCTTCATCACTTAATTCAAAGTTTAAAGTGTTTTGTTAATAAAGCTCAAAATGCTCTAAAAAGGGAATAATCATGTGAAATCTTTTTTTCTGGATCTGTCATTTTCTGCTCTTGTGCCACTTCTGCAGGAACCAAGTGGAAAAGCAGTGGTCCCAATCTCACATATTAAGTTGGAAATGCACAGGTTTTTTGAGGGGATTGTTTAAAAGTGCAGAAAACTCACCACTTACTTTTTGTGGGTAACACATCTAGTTCTACAGATTACCAAATGAAAATGAAAAAAAAAATATTTCTTTTTTCTTGGTGTGCTACTTAAAAAACCTTTCTCTTTTATTATGAAACCAATCAGTTAGTTCAACAATAATCCCATCAGAATTATGGTTCAGAAAAGCGATAACAGCCAAGAAAGAAAAACATAGTAATTTAATATGCAGCTTATTAATATAGCAAAACATGGACATCTGTGTCCTGTGCATGGGATATGTGGCATATAGAGACATTTGGGCTCAGCACCTCATAAATAGGGTCTAGGACCTGTTTTAGTTCAGTAATGGGGATGGGGTGTTAGTTTGGTCAAGTAGGTAGGACATAGGAGAAAATAACTCCAGTATAGTCACAACACAAAGAAAAATGTACATGTATAGGATTTGTATATGTCATGAATGAATAAAGTGACAGTTTATCTTCTGTGTGAATCAATGATTCGTTTGCTTGTTAAGATGCACTTTCCCACTGTGCAAAATATGGACAAATGTCGTTTTATGTATGGACCATTTAAAGATACTGTTATCTTGTTTAGTGATGCTAAAGATCAGTCCCAGAAGTTAAATTAGTGGATGAAAATTATAGGGAATTCAAAATTTTTGAATCGTGAATCAGTTTAATGACTTCACACTTAAATGTAGGTGCCTTTGAGTCTGACCCTACTTGGCATTCATCTGTTAGTGTTAGAACTTAAAATATTTTCTTGGATCAAATTTAAAACTTACCAAAGTAAAAAAAAAAATAGGTAAGAAAATAAATTAATATGTTTGCTTTATGAGAATTACTATGACAGGTAATATATAGAGGAGAACATTTTAACATGCTTTTAAGATTTATCACAACATCACCACAATAAGAAACACCAAGTAAAATTTTGTAAGTCATCTTGAAAAGTTTGAGGCATTTTCATACCATTTTGACCAGCATAAACTATTACATATTGGAACATACACAGCAAAGCAGTATGATTTTGAATTTTTAATTCAGCGTTAGTATTTACAGTCAATTTAAAATTAATTCCCTCTTTCTGACTCCTATGATAAAGGACAAGAGGAGACCATAGCCATTAATTCTTAGACTATAAATCTTCCTGCCTATTGACAATCACAAATGGGGAACATGCCAGAATCACATCATTCACCATGCCATGAGAAAAGGAAAAGAGAGACACTTTCGGAAAGCTGGGGAAAACAAGAAATATAAATCAACTTGATGAATTGATAATGTTAACAATCCTTAAGCAAGTCAAACACTTCCTCTATGGCTTGATACTCTAAACCATACCCTGAGAGCCTTCTGAGACTGATTTTAAAATGGGAGTGAGATGAACAAACACCACAGATCCAAGTTTCTGAGTCCATATGGTAAGGTAGTATGTGCTTCAACATGTTCATGTTTACTAGCTGAGTAACTGGCAAGCTTGAAACTGCTGTCCTTAGAGACACTTCTCTATGTGCTTAATTAATTTTTGCAGAGGCTTAACTGTGCCTGTGGGCATTAAAGAAGTGTAAGAATACAATAATTGTAATATGGTGCAGAGGCTTAAATTTGGTGCTGGAAGCTCCTGTTTCCTATAGCTAAAGTGAACAAATTCACAGTAAGGAGCAGCCTTTGCTGGGGTCAGGCAGGAGGTGAGGAGGGGACTTCAGGCCAGGGCAGCCTCCACTCCTGCTGGCCTCCTTCCACTCCCAGTGAACACCAGGAATGGGGCCAGCCCTGCTGGGAGCAAAGTCAGGCCCTACCACCCCAGCGCTCCATGACAGCTGCACTGGGTGTGAAGGGAGCAGTCTCTGCACATCACTGGCTGATCTAATGCCACAGTTCTTATCCAATTTCTATCCCATTTCCCAGGCAGATGCCCCACTCTACTTAGCAGGCTTGCAGGGCTTGGCAGTCTCATGCTTGCCATAGCAAGCAGCAATACCCCTCTGAGGGCAGAGCAGAAGAAATAAATGTCTTGCCCAGGTGGCTGCAGGGACGAGAACTTCTCTCTTGCACAAGAAAAGAGGACAAGAAGCAGTGGGATTGGAGAAAGCTCCTCGCCCAGGGCAGCAGACGTGCCAGCGCTCCCAAGCCAGCAGTTGTAGGAGAGGTGGATGGGAAGAGCCAGAGGGAGGGCTCGGGGCTGGGGGTCTGCAGCTGAGCAGATTCCATGGATTTCCTTCAAGGATGGTGGGGTCATGGCAGGCAGCTGTGTGCCTGTGGGCCTGCACTCAAATAGGGTCAAATGTTCCCGCCTGCACTCACCTCTCCAGCTCCCATCCCGGTAACTCATCTCCTCATAGTTGCAGTAGTGTGTCATATACATTTGGGGTCTTTTTTGACTGACTTGAAATAAATTGTACTGAAGTTAAGGGAATTACAGCAATCTCCCTGGGCTGAAGTCTGCTCTTGGAATGTTTCTTTAACGCCCTCCTGACATCCTGACCATTTAAAAATCTTCTCATTTCAGAACTACGTGTTTGTCTCACAAAGAATTCTCCTGTGCTTTCTCCCAATCCTTATTTATTAACTTTGTTCCCTTTCCCAAGTTCTCTCCTTGTGTTCAGTTACATCTCATTATTTTTGTGGTGTTTCTGAGATGACTTTGTCTGGACAACCACTGGACTTGAAGAGGAAATGACCTCTTTGTAGGACAGTATGTTTTATTCATGGATACAGTGGTTTGTGTTTCTACTGTTAAAAAGAAAGATAAACTGTAGTGGACACAGGGCCTGGATATCCTACCTGCCAAGGCAAAACGATGGTGACAGCTTGTCACTGACAGCTAATCCATTCTTGCTTCAGCAGATGCAGAAATGGCTTCCATGCTGTTCCTTGAGCAAGGCATCACCTCATATTGAGGAAAATAACCAGTTTCTGTATACATGTTTCTCAGTTTGGTATTAGAGATGAGAAAATCAAAATGCAGGGAGCCCATGTAACTTACCTGAACTCCTAAAGCAAAACAAAGGACTTACTCCCCATTTATGCACAGTCTGTCTAAATTAAAATTCCTTATTCTTGGTTTTAACCATCTTGGTGTTTGGTATTCACACACATTAGTTTTACGTGCTGATCACAATGTACACTGCCAGGTCCTGCTGTGGTTTGGATAAGCTTGTGAGGTGTCAAACTTGAACATTAATTTTTCTAGGTATTCCAGGCCTTCTTGCCTTGACTTCTTAGAAACTTAGTGGCAGTGTATACTTTGTTATTTGTCATTTAACCCCTTGTTTTCCTTACAAACTGATCAGGGTTGCTTGGGTAACTTTTATGAGTTTCTACGCTGTCAGCTAGTTGTCGTTTTACCAGTCAAACCAATTGCTCTCATACTCAAATCACTGATTAGAAAGGTAGAGTCTGAGTCCAAAGAATGAGGCATGTGTGGAGGAGCTACAGGGAACACAAGCACTGCAGTAGTAAAGCACATTAGTATTAGCAGCAGCCTCCTGAACTGTATTTTTATTTTACTGAGCCACGAGCACAACAAACATATGAAAAAAGCTCAATTAGGAATCAAAAGAAATTCATTAGAGGGTCAAGAATTACTTCACTACATACCCTGCTACAAAATCCTGAATTTAGACACTTGGTAGCCCTCTCAGCACTAATCTAGTTTTCTTCATCCAGTTCTTCAGCTGGGGCTTCTTTGTGGAGACAGAAACAGACTTGAAGAGCAGAAGTAGAATATGGACACTGCAATAACAGGTGTCCCTCAACAAATGCAGACCCGTGTGCTCTGAACCTGCTCCATGAGATGGCCTGGGGAGTTTCTTGGCAGGTGCTTTTTGTAGTACAGCCGCAGTCGCATCCCGAGCTACCAGGCAGTCCCAATTTCTATCCTCTTTGCTTGATCTTGGGAGAAAAATTTGAGGGGGAAGGAAGTTTTCTCATGGATGGATAATGAAAACAGAGGATTCTGACTTTCCTGGGGTGTCGCTAGGTTTGACTTGGATAGAATCTTTAGTGAATCATTTACACATCTCCCCACATCCTTGGCAATGTGGCTGCCAAATGGCAGAAATAGCATTTTAAAGCACAGGCCAAGTACAAAATGCCTCATAATAGTCAAAACTGTGATTCTAATTATCCTGACATTGTTACACACTAGAACTGTTACATAAGATTTAAAAAGAATATACAATACATCATTACAGTCTGCATGAGTAAGTGTTAACAGACTGCAGCTTTAGGAAAAAAAAAAATTAATCAAAACAAGGCTGTGATTTTGCCTGAAAATAATATGACTCCTTCCATGGAAACTGCTCCTGTTAAGAGTCAGCAGTAGAAGGGTTCCTCTCACTTCACTTTAAATGCATGCAGTCTAGATGTCTATATACAACCTATTGATCTCGGGTTCAATTTATAGTCAGTGGAGCAAACTATGCATTTATGAGGTGCATCTCATCCTATAGAAAGTGTCCAGGGCATAAGCTGAATCACAACCAAAAGCAGATCTTTCTTTCCATTAACTGTAAAGGGAATCAAGAGGACTAACTCAGCTGCAGATGTCTTCATTGACAATGTCTGTGTTTAGTTAGAGGAACTCTCCATAGAGGAATATATCCTGTCCTTGCTTAAGCGTGCTGCAGCCACTGAAAATGGGACAAAGGAAACTGCTTTTAGGAAATATCTCTCTCTTAGGGAATGGGCTATTAAAGTTCTCAACACAAATCTCCTGAGCATCTTCTTTCTTCACCCCTATGATGTTCTTCCTTTCTCTCACCATTGTAGAGAAGTGACATTTGCAAGTTTTTAGACATTTACTAATTGTGAGTTAAGGAAATGATCATGCCCCTTTGTTCCTATATATATTTTGCAGTCATCAGACTTGTAAAAGAGTGTCTTTGAAGAAAGTTCTTCATTGGCATGAAGTGCTTTTCCAGTCAGGAACTTCTGAAACATATATGTTCCAAAGAAGATGATCAACTTAAAAGAAAGCAGTGGAGCCCTGACTAGTCAAAGAGATCTATCTTTTGTATCAGCCATAACCATGTCCCACTTTCAGGAAAATTGCAATCCACCAAGGAAAAAAAGATAATGAAGGTAACTGAATGTTGTAAGAGACTGCTTGGACAAATTATGGAGTCTTTGTCACTGGAGGGTATTAAGAACAGACAAAATAGGAATGATTGCATTAGGAGATAGAGTTCATGTTTCTATGACTTCCTATTAATCAACTGAAAAAGAATACTGTAACTTACCTTCTAATATGACTCCAGTTGCTTTGCCTCTCAGTGTTCACCTCTGCATTACCCATCTTGGATATGAGTAGTCATGATAAAACCATAAAATGCAAACTGTTGCTTTGTAATACTCAAGACAGGATAGAGGAGGAAATAAGGAGGAACTATATCTATTTAATTTAAAACAAAACATTGAATGAACTATTTTTGTTTCACACTGAAAGCACGTGGGGTTTTGTGGGGTGAATTGACTGCTGATCAACAGGAATATGGCAGTGCTGCTGCAGGTGACCAGAGGAGGAACCCTGATGGTCATTACCTGGGTGCTGTAGAAGCTCAGCAACTGCAAGGCCAAGGCTTTACCCTCTTCTTACACACTTATTCACAGGAGAAAAGATGGGAAGGGAAAGTAGAAAGCAGAGGGAAAAGACTATAGAGGGCATAATTTCTAGGGGGACCATATTTACACCATATGTAAGATTAGGCAGTGAGACTGGTGTAAAGAGTTGACTCTCTTGTCCAGCCAGACCTGTTGTCTCACCCCTGAGGGCACAGTGTATCCTCAGTTGTGCTGGTACAACTGTTCTCTGGTTCTATATCAGTGAATACAGATGGGGAAAATTAACCCTAAAAAAGCTTATAAAAAGGAGGGTCTCTGCTCCAGCTCAGGGGCGAGGCTCAGTTAAGTTATTGAAGGAGCAATACACTGTGCCCATGGATAGGAGAAAATGGCCGAAGGATTTCCTTACACACGGAATGTTGAATCCCTTCTGTAGTGGAACTACAGCTGGATAGTGTGACTATTCTGCTCTTGAACTTTAATTTTATACACTCTTCAGTTTTGGAATTATTCTGCATTTTTGTTTTGTCGAGCCTCATTTGCACATTATTTTAGTATTTAAAAGAAAACATTTGTTTATTTTTGGCACAGCTGACTGTGGGCTTGTTTAGCTTTCTTTATCACTTATTTTGCCAGTTTAATAAAATTCAGTGTTTGTTGAACAATTTATTGCTATAAAAGCATTTGCAATGAAACAGAAAGCCTCAAGACATTACTGAAATATTGCAAACCACCAAGCAATATGTACAAGCTTTAGAAATAGTGTTCTCTGATCTCAAAATTGGAGACAGAAAAAACTCCAATTAAATCAATACTTAATTCAGCAGAAAAATAAATGTTTTATACACTATCAGACTTAGAATTTATCAGGAATAACATCTGTCCTACAGATCAGCATCTTCCACAGTGCGCTATTGCAGCAGTAGGAGCACTTCCAGTTTCCAGAATAGCACAAGTTAGCAGGTGACTTCTTGAAAGGATAACTATGTGTGGCATGAATGTGAGCAGCATATACATGCTCAGAGTGCCATATGGGCTATATTTATTTGGTGTATATATGCAGAGGAGAAAGAAGTATATGTGTTACATTTCATATAATAAAACAGGTGGTGTTGCTTTTTGTAAAACAGTTTTTGTCCTTCTCATGCTTTTCTGTGAAGGCAGAAAAAGTAAGCAAGAAAAAAATGTGAAGAATTTCAATAAAAAAAGGTGCTATAAAAATGCTATTGACTATAAAGTGGTCCTGAAAAATTTGTAATTATTGTACACTAAAGTTCCAGTGTGACTTTCCTAATTTCCCTAGTTTCTTGAACTAGGACCTGCATTGCCTTTGGGAGTCCTTTCCAGATTTTCAGATCAGTTAATGAGTTCATCAGTATCCAGATATTATTCCAATAATAAATAAAATTACCTCCACTTTCCCATGTGTTGTAAAAAGGTAAATCAGGTCATCATCATATATATAGTATTTATAATATTGGCATTCAAGTGACTCTGGAAGCCATGCCTTCCTGCCTCCAGCTTTTCCAGCGAATTGTCCACCACCATTCTGCAACTGTTACAGGCTGTAATAGTATGCACTGGGTGGATGCACTTTGTGCATATTTGGCTTCTTAAGTCCTGGCAGAGGAAGCTAGATGGAATTCCTCAAAATAACAGGAGGCACCTGCACCTTATTGGGAATGTTATTAGTGGGAAGAATAAAGACCTCAGCTTGTCCAAGGGTCTGTGTGTCTTATCTGCTCCAAACACACATGTTGCATATCCTGCCAATGCCTCCCAGGTTGATGCTCATAAGCTTTCTCCATGGTCCTCAGGGCCCTTAAGGAACCTCTTATGGTTCACTTACACACTGACTTCTTTGGTGAAAGGACAAATAATGGGTTCATTTGTACCACCTGTGACCTTACTGCAGTTTGTAAGCCCTATTCTTTGAATGCCAGAGTTGATCCAGTATTTATCACTCAGAGGTTAACAACTTTCAATAAGCATCAAAAATCTGTACTAATACATGTAAGGGTTTTTCAAGAACACATGATAGTTTTGATTGGCTTTCAGATCATGATCTTCTGTTGGCAGGTGACTCTAATTTGTGTGCTCTAATTTGTGCTCTCTAATTTGTGTGCTTCAATAGCAGAGTGATGGGTATACTTTTTAGGTTGACTGAGGAATAGAAGATCATCTCAGGCAATGGATTTTCCAAATGTCTCCCATTTTGTCACTGTGCTGCAGATCTTCTGGCTTGAACATCTTGGCAAACTCACCAAAGTCATTCAGCTCTCTGACCGTCTGCCTGCATCACAAACATTTGGTCCACATTCTAAGAAATTCTTCTGATGAATCTATAGTTGTTGCTTCATACCACATGACTAATTTTTGTCCTTTTATTTACAGCACTTTTGTGAATATTTTCTCTAAGTTGATACAATCATTTCACATCTATTGTAACAGGAACATTGCCATAGCACTCCCAAAGTGGTGACGGGTTGGGGACTTTTTGTGGTCCCTCAAGGATCCTTTTGCCTGCTGGCCTACTATTCTAAGGCTTGAAACTAACACTGCACCCATCCTTCAGTTCTTACCTTTCTGTCCTTTGCCATTGCACATCTATTAACCTTTAACAAGGACTCTTCTGTAAGGCAGACCTGCCTTCTCTTATCCTGGATTTTAAGTTCCATTTTTCTCTTCTCCCAGCTTTCTGAGTATCATTCTGCCTTTTGTTCTTTCTGATGGTCTCCTAAATATCCTGATGATTTCTACTTAAGCTGTGACTATTGACTATTCCCACCATATTTCTTCTCTACTTCCTGATACAGAATCTTCTTTCTCTTCCATCTTTTGTTTCTCCTCATTCTACCATAAAGTACATACACCAGTAAGTGTGTTGACCTCCTGGTCAGATGATGGTACCACTGGTACCACTCACAGATTGGTCTTTTGGGTCTTCTCATCAATATGTGTCCACAAATCTTGTTTTTCCTCTCCTGTTTTTCACTGTGTGCCTCTCTCAGTTTCTGGACTCCAGACACACTTCTGGATATTCTCTTCCTTGAGGCCTGTCAGATGACCAGATATGGCACAAACTGCTGTTTAATGCTCAGTGGTAGCGTTAAACCCATAACTCTTTTGTGCAGATACAATTTTCCAGTTCTCTTCCCCTTCTCTAACAGCTACTGTCTTCTCTTTCCTGTCTTACCAGAAAAAAATCTGCCACAACAACCACAGAAACCAGACCTCCTGCAACCTTTCTCTCTTTCTATTGTTTGCCTGCTGTTGTCCTTAATTAAAGGCCTCAGGTATTGGCAATCTTTAAAGGTTCCTTGTTTAAAAAAAATATAAGTAAAGCACTTGACAATGTAAATCTAAAAGTTGCAGAGCTTTTCTTCCGCATTAACAGAGATAACCGTACTGGTTTGAGTATGAAATGGGCCACTGATAATCTGAATTTCTTGCCTGTTCTATAATGAGTCCCTTTTATTAAAAGGAAGGGACTTCCATCTATCCAGGTCCACTCAAGTATCCAAGAGAGAGTTTTCCTGAGGGCAGGTAATCAACCCTCAGCGCCCCTATGGAGGAGACCCTATTGGCATCCTGATTAGCTTCTTCATTGCTTACTGTGCATGCACAGCTAGAACCCTTAAGTAGACCCACCTTTATAACAGCCCAGTTGAAATAAAAATAAATTGTATGAGGTGCTCATATGATGTATTTAGTATATAGTTCTTCACAAGCTACTATCAAAAGGATGTATATAATTGAATTTTCTGTATAGGCTGATAAGCACAAGGAAATTTTTCCTAAATTCTGTAATAAGCTACTTTTTATGCTAAAATATATTTGCAAGAACTTCTTTGGTATTTTTTCACATCTGACTAAATTTAGGTAAAGGCCAGTAGCACAGTGTTGAAGGGAATATTATGCCTTTCCAAAACTGTGTAAGCATACATTCACCTTCCTTGGAAACTCAAGGGCATATTCTGTCCAGATATTTTCACACACCCACTACTTTTGTTTTGTGTCCAAAGTAATAAAAAATTACTTACACTAATATCGTTGTGAGAAGATCAAGCAAATACCCAACTAGAGAAGTATTTTAATGAGATTGGGCTGGAAGTATGAGTTAAAAATGCATTAATTTTCCTTTAGTCCAATGATGAATTCTACCGTCTATTTTCAACTATTTCCTCTGTATGTCTTTTTTTATTAGTCATCTGCCACTCCATGAAACTGCCATTTTTGGAAAAGGCAGCAGTGAATGTAAAAATACATAATGTGTTTGTAGAGCACTGTTGTAGGATCTATAAAAATTAACTTCTTTGAAAGCCACAAAAAAGAAATTCATATGATAATTTTTAAAATTTCTACTTCAGTCATCTCCAGATCTTAAATTTTAATATCTCTAGATGATTGTGAGTAGCTATGCACCCAGACTTATCAGGGAACCAAAGCACTTCTGTAAAATAATCAACTGCCTTTTGTCTAACTACAACTTTTCTAAAAAGAACCAAAGAATAAGGGAAGTTATAATCTCAAACTGCACTCTAGACCTGCCTTAAACACAGCTTGATGTCAACAGCCCTTCCTTCCAGAACAACTGCTTGTCTTACAGATTCTGAAAGCAAGCCACAGATGGAAAATCTGACAAGGGAGCAACACAGCTTACGTGATGAGAGGGAAAAATAGTGAAGATATATATTTTAATAGCTCCTCTCTAGTGTAAGAAACCATACTGTGTTGTCATTTACACTCATAACATCTCTTGATGAACTGGCATCATAGAAGCAGAAATGAGAGCTTGTCACTAGATCACCTCTTATTATAATAAGAACC